ACTCCCACAAGCATTCACACCGTCTGCTTAAAATTTGGTCTCCTCCTTTTATTCTACCTACCAGTCCGCACTCCAGCGCTTGCTCCGGTAAAAGAAAGGCAGCAAAATCCGTGAGCAACTGTGGCCAGTCATGCAACAGCTTCTGTAAAGTGGAGTAGAGATCCACAGCTGTTCGCTTGTCCGTGCTGATCTCAAACTCGTAGATAACGCGGAGGAAGTCTTCGTACTTTCCAGGAATGTGCTGCAAGGCTTCGCGCACCTGGAAAAAGCGACAGGCCTTTACAGGACTACGTAACATCCAGGAAGAGGTTAGTTTAGTCGTCTTTCATCTCTTGCTACTCGGAATTTACACAGTGCTTTCAGTTTTGTTGAGCCAAGCAAGCCGCTTCCTTAGAGACACATTTGAACTGCTCACAAAGGGGAAGGGAACCAAACCCAGGACTATGAAATTCTGAAGTGAGAAGAGGCCCCGGGGGTGTGGACTGACTGCAGCCAGCAGCTACGCACCCCCACAGCCACTCACTCGCTCCCCACCCCCCACCAGGACAGGGGAGGGAAGAGGAAGAGCAAAGGCAAGAAAACTCATAAAGATACAGTGAAGATAAAGACAGTTTTGTTAGTGAAGGACCACCGTATGGGGTGCATGACGAAGGGTAACTCCATCCCAGCCGGTTAGAACCAGCAGTTACGTGGCTCTGGCAGAAACTCCACGTGTCAAACCGCTCTGCCTTACCCTGGTTAGATAGGCTTGTGCAAATGCCAGATCCTTCTGTTCCCGCAGGGGATCTCTCTCCAGGATGTCCTCGTCATACAAGAGGAGCAGCTTAGATGTATCTTTGCTAGCACGAGCCCGTCCCCTCTTATTTCTAGTTCTGTGGGAGCTCCTGCTCTTCCCAGGGGCTTTCATGTTTTCTCCTGCGAAGAAGCACAAAGCAAGTTGTGCTGGTCCTTTTCATCTATTCCCTGGGCTGGCAGACAGCTCCTCTGCTACATCAACACTGGAACAGAAGCCTGTTTTCAGGGTTAGCGACGCGCTAACGGTTTACGCTCTCTGTGTATGAGCAATACGCTTTTCATTAGCGAGGCTGGCGAACATTTTTAATTGGCTGTTTATTTTTTACAGCATCTGACAGGAAAGATCTCTGGATACAGCCAGAAATGCATCCCAGATGTTACTCAGCTGGCAAACTACTAAGAGCCAACAGCTACACCTACTGCATACCAGGGGCAAAAAAGTCACAGTGGATGAACAGAGAGAGGATCAGAGCTGGCTGTAGCACCTGCAAATCAGTCTTTTAGCTTATTATTGACATGAACAGAGTTAACATCACAGATAAACAACTGCTGTCATGTAACAGAGTTGCTACACTGAGATTTTTGTGCCTTTAGGTTAGGAAATCTGTGGGTCTAACGGACTGAGGTCCACCTCCTCAAGCTCACTGCTCAGGTTAGTCTACCACTTGCCACATTCTGTTAAGGTATTAGTTGGTTTCGTTTATTTGTCCCCAACGTGACCTTATAACAACGGGAATTTAGCAGGGAATTGACTATTTAATATTGTTCGTATTGGGTATTAGCTGACAAACCACAAGCCTTATGTGCACATATTTGAAGCATAGATGCTTCCTCAGTGGACTACAGGCACTCGGGTGACGTGCACAAGGGCTTCTATGGCAGCAACTCTCCTTACAGAGCTGTGACTGCGATGCACAATCTAGTGTCCAGCAGAAAGCATCACTAAGCGCAGACCTGATCAAGTGAAATCAAACCAGCCACGGTTTCCCTGTGGTTTTGCTTTTAACGCGGAGAGCGGCTCGCTCTCCCCGCGCCCTTTGCCGGAAGAAACCCAGAGAACCTACCCGCTGGCATTCTGTGGGCTTCCACCTGCGGGGCCGCCTTCGTCAGCGTGAAGGCAGACTTAGGTTCCTCCAGTACATCTCCACATGCTTCGTCATCTTTCTGTGAACTCTCTATTCCTTCCCCTTCTTCCTCCTCCTCTTCCTCAGGCTCAGAGTTCTCTTCCTGGGAATTCTCTTCTTCAGAATCTCCTTCTTGGCTCAAACGTCTCTCTGTTGCAAGCCAAGTAAGTTTTTCCATTGTCTCCTTAGAAAGCAACAACAAGAAAACCTCACATTGTTTTCTTTTAGTGTTTGTTGTCCCTCAGTAACTAGCTCACTCCATCATGATTCTAACAGCCAATTTCACAGATCAACATCTGACCAACGAGAGGATGCTACTGAAGGGTCAGAATTCAACCACCAGAACTGCCTATTTTTGTATCACGCACAAAATTAAACTTCAGATTCTGCCACTTATACAAGCCTTAAATCAGATGGGTTCCTCAGTGATCAGCTTAGCTCTTAAGGGCTTGCTGGAACTGTGACCTGGACAGTAATTTTCAATTAAAGAAGAGCCTCAGCTGAGGCTGTCCTAACAACTCAGCAGAATCTACATCTCAAGATATTCCTTTAGTTTGGACTAAAAATCTTCCTGGAGAAACGTGGTGTCCAGGTTCTCTGTAAAACACCAAAATACCCCGCTCCCATGCAGTTAGCAGCCCAGCTTTCCAGCTGGGTTCAAACTGTGATCTGCCCTGACTCCACGAGGGTGTTTCAGGACACCAACACATCATTAGCAAGTTTTTTACAGTTTTGTTTGCTTTTACCTGAAGTTCTGGCACTGAAAGAATAGATTCTTCTGAGGCTGATGACATTTCTTCATCCTCATCTTGCGTAAAATCATCAAAGTCGTCTTCTTCCTCCTCTTCTTGTCCTTCTCTCTCTCCTCCAGCTTCAGGGCCAGCCGGTGTCCCAACGGACTGGCCGTCTATACTGGACGAATCCTCTGGTCTTCCCAGCGGACTACTAAATTCCGCCTCAACATCCGCTGTACACGAAAGATTCTTTGGAGAGTCGCCGCTGAGTGGTGGTCCCACAGCACCACCCGCATCCCGCTGCTGCTCACCGCAGGGCGACGGCTGCAAAGCCCGCCGTTCTTCTTCCCCCTTCTCGTCACACGAAGCATGCTCCTTTTTCATTTCTTTCAGGTCATTTGAACATGAACATGCAGCCGCCATGTTCAGCTCCTGGCCAAGGTCCAGCACAAACTCCTCCTTCACTTCAGCGCACGAAAGATCCCTCTTCTGTACCGCAGCTACTTCCTTGGCCACATCACTGGAATCTTCAGGCTCCATTTTCACCGTTTCATCTGGATCTCCTAAGTGAGGCAAAAGGTCCATGGCCAATGGCTCAGGAACATTCCCGTCTCCTTCTACCACTGTCCAGCTACAGCACTCACCCTCACCTCCCTTTTCCTGACTGCCGTTACTGGAAGCAGCAGGATTTGTACCACACTCCTCCTTAGGGGAGAGAGCGGAGCACGGAACGTACAACTCCGGGGGTTCAACCTTGGGCTCCGCGGCGGGACAGGTATTTTTGTTGTTCCCAGCAGGGCAAGAAGGAACCAGATTCAGCTGTTCTTCATTTTCACCAACAGATGATGCAGAAAGACCAACAGGGTTAGGAGAGACTATCAACGAGGGGATCGAAGAAGTCACTAGAGGCTGATTTAAGGGACAGGGGAAGGTGGATGGATTCACCAGTAAGGTTGTAACTGGAATGGCCTGAGTGCCTCTACCAACGGTTGTGTTTAGGGGCTGAATCATATTGCAACCATTGCCTATATTAACCACTTTCACTGTGGCAGCAGGGACCGTAAGGATGACCGGAGACGGCTGAATCAGAGGGGAAGTCTTAATCAGCGGGGCAGATTTCGTCCCTTTTTTCCTTTGGTATCCCTTACGAACGCAAGGTTTGCGTACTTTTGCTCCAGCCAAAGCTGGCAACATCAGTTTTGGCTGAAGAGTTATTGGATTGGAGGTCACTATTGCTGGTGGTACAGCAGCTGTGAAGGCTTGTCTGGAGTCCGAATGCGAAGTGGAGAGCACATTCTGCAATTCCAAGCCATCCCCACTTCCTACCACAGCTGGAACATTCAGATGTTGCACTCCCGGCACCGTTGGCAGAACTGTAGCTGGCTGGATTAGCTGGGGAATCTGAACCATAACTTTGCTGGGAGGAGCTTCTGACTGGGACAACTTCACAGTTTTTTGGATGTTAACAGTGTTGGAACTGGGCTGCAGACAAGGACTTGGACGAATGAGGACCGGCTTCAGCGCTGAAGACCTCTGCCTCCTCCACGCTCTCCTAGAGAATCGATTGGCAAGGGGCTTTAAGGTCAGTACTAGTCCCTTGGGCATGAGTAGAGGGTATTTTTCATCACAATCCGTGTCCGAAGTTTCCTTTCCTGTCCCCAAAAAGACAGATTCTGCATCAGGTGAACCTGGCATCTCCCTGGTATCTTCTGCTAATTGCTTCAATTCCCTCTGAATGGAGGGCAAGCTTGCCTAGAGGGAACAAGAGCTCATTAGGCCAGTCCATAGGCTATTCCTCCATTACCACCTTCAAACCGCAGCGGGCAACAGACAGCAACGTCCTCCAAAAAAGAAAGCTCGCTTAGTTTATTTCATACTACTGCATATTACTTTGTATTTACTGTATATCACTTCCTATTCACCAGTTTTACTCCAAAGCCTTCAAAAGAATCTGAGCCTGAAAAACAACAGAACTTTTATGAAGTAAAAAGATTTTGAGAGAAGTAACACAGTATTTGTGCTAGTCTGCCCTCCGCTGTCGCAGTGACATATGTTGTATTAAGAGAAAAACACGTTGCACCAAGAGATTAATACAATGTGATTGAGAGAACTGGATTCTATGGCACCTGAGCAATTCTTTCTCAGATACAGTTCTTGCCTGACTCACAGGCATAGTCACTGTCTCCAACTTGGTCTTCTTGTGCAAAGAATCACACAGAAAGAATCCTTACAAAGCCTGAAACATTTGGGTGTAACAAAAATAACAGCTGCAGGTGAAAATCACTCTGAAAAAACCCACCCCAAACCTCCAGGTTTCTCCTTTCCTCTTAGAAAATGAGGTTTTAAGAGGGAAGAACACACCCTCTCCAACTGCTGGATTGGGAAAGGTGGCAATACTGCCAACCTGGCAAGGGTCAGTCTATGCTGATTAACAAATTAACAAAGACAGATAACAAAATCACCCCATCAAACCAGAGCCATTAGAAACACACCCATGTGGCACAACAAGGATGCGACAAGCACACACTGTGTGTCCATAACCTCAACCGTGCTGGCGCAGGGCAGGCGAGCGCCCAGAGCGGTGTGTGACCCTTGAGGTTGCTGCGTGCTCCTGTTCTTATACGTTTACCAGCCAGACTCAGGGTAACACCCGTGCGGTACAGAGTACCTTTTGACTTCAGAGCTGCAGGCTAACCAACTCACTCTGGACCTAGGCTGTAAAGAGAAGGAAAGGAAAAAACAACCCCAACCAGCAATAACAACAAATAAACCCCCAAAGAACTCAACCACTCCACAAAGATGAAGAATATTAGAAACTACCTTTAGCCAGAACGGCAGGTGATGTTCTTCCCTCTCCACAGGCGGCTTCCACTCATTAGGCTGGATTTCCTCACAGCACTTCAACAGAATGGGCAACTGTTTTGTCTTTTTATAGTACTGTGTGGAGAGAGAAGAGAATGCAAGACAACTGTGGTCAGAACACCTGTCCCGTAACTGCTGGGATGGAGGATAAGGACTGTGCTCTGTAAAAGTCTTCATGCGACTTAAGCGATTCTCATCGCTGGTTTCTCTTGGAAGCAAGCGTGAAGTTCAAGCAGATGTGCAGGCGTACTGGCTTTCAGTGTTTCTGGTTCTCCTTCTCCCTTCAGCAGTGGCCCTTAGCTTATGGGAGGGGATACTGGGCGGCTGGACCCTCCAGCCTGACTGGAGACAGCACTTTCCTTTAAGCTTCACTACTCAAAACATTACTTGCGTGAATCTGTCAAGATTGCTGAAGCCACGGTTGTACTAGGACTGTCTGCAAGTGCTGGGCTCTAACGGGTCAAAAGACTAAGGTAAGCACTTGCAAAGTGCAGAGGGTAAGGTGTTTTTGAAGAAATCCTCATTGCGAATGAAAGGACGACGTTTTCCTTTAAGGAAGTGTCAAGCACGTATGCAGAAACGTTCCTTGGAATAAAGAGCACACCCTTTCTCGTGTAACAGACACCACACAGACAGACGAACCCGGAAAATACCAAGCCAGAACCTGAACGCACGACTTACTCTGATGATGTTATCGGGGGCTCGATTCATATTGAGATTCTTGATTCGCACTGTCAGCTGGTGGGCAGTTTTGGTTGGCATGAGATACTTGCTGATCAAAGGCTTCGGGAACTCTGTCCCTTCAAAATGTTTCAAACCTAAAGCCAATAAACTGAAGGAGAGAGGGAGGAGGGGGAAGAAAAAGTCTTTCAGACAGTGGGGCAGATTGGCATTTCTGTTGCACAATAGAGAGATATCCCAGGAGTTCGCATCCTAGAAACTCTCCTTAACAAAGGAGTCTCATCTGCGTGCATTTTATTCAGTAATTCTAAGCACCTACTTGTCCTCTGCCTTGGTGAAGATGATCTTGTCCCGGGGAGGGTTTGCTTTCAAGGAACAGACTGGCAGTAACTCTGGATACATAAAGACTCTCCTTGTTGCCAAAATCCACGCCACTTGCTTTGGCAAACAGGGAAATTCATTAGCTGTGAAAAGAGTTAACAGATAGACATATCCATGGACAAATGATGATTTTCACAGCTGACTTCTTGAAAACATTCCCTTTACTCCCTCCACTACAAAAAGAGACAAAATTTCTCCCTGGTTTTTAGAATTTGCAGATTTCCTGTTTTTTGCCCTTAACTTTACATCAGCAAAAGGTACAATTACCTTTCCCTTTCATCTTTTCTTGTGCTCTATAATGAAAAAGCATTTGCTTATTTCAAGTGAGTTCACTCTCTAGGTAGCAGAAAAATAACGAACCAAGTTCCCGCCTCTACTGTGCTCTCCCAAGACCCCACCTGGAGTGCTGCGTCCAGCTCTGGGACCCCCAACATCAGGAGGATATAAACCAATTGGAGGGAGTCCAGAGGAGGCCACGGAGATGCTCCGAGGGCTGGAGCACCTCTGCTATGATGAAAGGCTGCAAGAATTGGGCTTGTTCAGCCTGGAGAAGGGAAGGCTCCGGGGAGACCTTATTGCACCTTCCAGTACCTGAAAGAGGCTACGAGGAAGCTGGGGGAGACTTTTTATGAGGGCCTGTAGTGACAGGACAAGGGGTAACGGGTTTGAATTGAAAGTGGGGAGGTTTAGATTAGATATCAGGAAGAAGTTCTTTCTGGAGAGGGTGGGAGCACTGGAACAGGTTGCCCAGAGAAGCTGTGGATGTCCCATCCCTGGGAGTGTCCAAGGCCAGACTGGATGAGGCTTGGAGCAACCTGGGCTATGGAAGGTGTCCCTACCAAAACATCAAAACATCTGCAGAACAATAAACAGCAGGGCCATGATGCCAGGGATAACCATTCTATGGTTCTATGATTCAAGTATTTGAAACTAATAGCTTGGGGTTTCTTTTACTAAAATACTCCAATGAAAGGTGTATTTCCTTGGTGTGTGTTAGCCAACACATTCACAACAATTATTTCCAGTTTCCTATTTTCTTGATGGACTCTGCAGCTCAAAACATCATCTGCAGAACAATAAACAGCAGGGCCATGATGCCAGGAATGAGGCATCCAGAACTTCTCTGCGCAACCTGTCACAGGGCCTCCCCACCCACTCCAGGAAGAACTTCTTCCTGATATCTAATCCAAACCTGCCCACTTTCAAACCCAAGTCAAGAGCTCACAGAACATGCTTTATGGTGCTGCAAGCTTAAGAAGCAAAAAGGCAGTCAATAAAGTGGATGGTTTTATCTAAAAATACTACACAAACCAAAAAAACCACCCAAACAATTTATAAACAGCAACCTGAACCTAACTGGAGGGTGCAGAGCACTGAGTAACTCCCACTGCCAAAGCTTCCCCCCTCCTGCCCCTGCAAACACATACCACTCTTCTTCACCGCTTTCCGAGGGCTCCAGTCGACCTGGACTTGGGCATGAAAATCCTCGATGAGCCGCAGCGCTCCAGTCAAGTTACAGGGCTGGAACGTTGTTTGAAACTTGGGGTTGAACGACTGCCGGAGGAGCGTAGAGCTTCGAGCAAAGTTGCCAAGCTCACTCTGCAGAGTCGGGGACAGAGAATCACAGAAGCATGTGCTTTCAAACGGGAGGTGAAGAACAGCCACATGAAACACAACGATGTCAACAAGGAAAGCTGCTGCGGCGACAGGCGTCACAGAGCGTTACCCGTCTTATTTTTGAACTTTACAAATCTGGGAATAATCAGAGGAGTATTTTTTATGGTTCTTGCACTTCCCAGAACCTTTGAAGGTCACAGAATGGTCACTAATTACCAAAGCTGTATTTTTTTTAAAAACTTTTGTTTGCAGTAGTCCTCCCAAGAAAAGAAAAACCCCCAGCCTAAGACATGCCAACTGAAAGCAGTGCTGTCAGTCAGCACAGCGTGAATTACTTCTCTAAGTACTGAGCATGTTCATAGTAGCCCAGCAACGTCCTTCCCTTACTGAGCAAGAGTCTCGCTCAATTTAATGGGGTCAATTAAATAAATTAAGTTCCAGTGACCAGCAATCGTTACAATTCACGTAGCTGTGATTTTAGACATGCCCTTACCAAAAACATCCTGGTGGTACTGGCTTCTGAACTTAAAGCAGGGTTGGAACTTGCGAGGAGATGGATTTGAGTCAGAAGCTGAACATGCTTGAAGAATAAAAATCAGACAAAGGGGTTTTTTTCAGTGTATCAGAAATCCAAGAAACTGGAAAGCGTAAGTATAGAGGCACAAGAAATACCTCCTGAGCATCCCAAAAATCACATTCTGACTTCAAAAGAGTTTTTAAGCAATGGAAAATGGAGGAGAAGCGTTAATATCCACTGGCAGGAAGTTTATTACACAGCTTTTAAACACACCATCTGTCTTAGGGCAGCTTCCTAGCTTTCATGCCAAAGTCTCACACCACAGCAATCAATACAGAAAGAGTAGGGTGTTTTTTTCTGATTAAATACTTATTTCTTCAGAAACAATGACTTCAGCTACCAGGACTCCCCACATGCACACCCACACCATACACCCTGCTCTGCAGCTGAAAAATGAAGAGGTCAGCTACCCTCCACATCTAACGCCAGATCCATTCTTTAGCCTGTGTCTGAGGTCCGTGTCCTTTCCCTGCCACCTCAGATCAAGGCATGACACCCTATGAGGTATGCAGAATAACAAACGACTACTCAGCCAGTCTTGCAGCAAGCTCACAGAAAAACAGTGCACTTTGTCCTCAGGAGTTCGAGTTGACAATTTTCAAGTTTTCAGAAGTCCTCTTGAATTTTGTAGGAACACCGCAAATAATTCTCAAAGTACAGCTTCTCATCTGTGCTGCTGACAACTTTTACAGTGTTCAGTCTGAATATCTACAATTTTGTGTGGTGGGAGGAGGAAAAAAGGGAATCTGAACTTCATCAAGAGTAATATTCTCAGAGAGTAATACAGAAATCGGTGAAAACAGGGTTTTGTCAGAATTCAAGCATGGCTGAGGCAGCGCTCTCACATCAGAACACCGCAGATGCCAAGAATGCATTTGTGCATTCAATTCAAATTGTCTTTCAGCGTGGAATCAGGCCTGTAAATATCACTCCAGCTTCAAATGCAGCTTTTTCCATTCATTTCTTGAGGGGAGCAAGCCAAAGTGCTTGTTGTACCACTGGCTTCCCCATCCCCTCCCAGCATACCGCAAACATTCTCTAGGTCAGACCAGATAACATTTTATTACCTGCTGCATTTGCTGCTGGAGCCTCTTTCTCTGCACACTGTCCAGAACCAGGCTCTGGAGAGGCTTCTCGTTTTGAGGTTTTGATTTTTCTATCTCTGGTGGTGGCTTGATCGAGGACTTTTTCATTCTCAACTGCTCAAGCTGTTCCTTCACCGTTCGGTGTTGTTCATTCAGTAAATTGGCCAGAGGCTCTTCAAACCTGTTTGAGATCAGGCAGAGCAAAACATAACAACCATGTGTATTTCGAATACCTTACTCGGAGTCGCCCAGTTTAAGCACTATCACCCCTGTACTACTCAACACTTCGACAGTGCAACTTGAGAACACAGAGTTCCTTATACAGTCAGCTTATACATAAATGGACCACAGCCCTGTCGTTGTTCTGGGATGCAACGCTTCAGCTGCTCATTCCAAGGACAGTTTTCCCAGTCACAGCACCTGAGCAGAACACGCATGGGGTCAGACACCCTCCACAGTGGTCAGGAGCTAAGATAATCCGGAATATACTGGAACCAATCCTACTGAACTTGTACCAAGGTCTGAACCCAAGGTATTGTGGGTGGCATTTTACCACGAGGATCTCCAGAAAGACCACACACTGACCCACGTGCTGTTCCTTAAAAAACAATAAATGAAGTATTAGCTAGCTGTATGCAGAACACTCCACTAGACACCTGCTGATTACTACATAAGAGCTACTCCTGCAGCCAAAAAGGATGTGCACGTTGCTGCCCTTTCAAAACAGCTTCAACCATCCCCTGCCTTAGGACAGGTTTGTATTTACCTACACCAGTTTATATTTTGATTTCTGCCAGTTAGCAGCTTTACTTCTGTAAGAGACCTGAAGTCAGTTCTAAGTGAAGTTGTTCCACAACGCTTCTAATGGAAGGTAGCATAAAAACAAGAATAAACCCAGCAAATGGCTATTTAGCCACAAGACAACTTGAAGAATCCTGCACACAGATAAAACTGGGGAAGAAACTACTGGAAGAACTACCTAGCAAAGAAAAATTAATACAACTAGCCATTATCGAAGACAAATGCACACAAATAGTAAGAGAGAGCATAAGGTTTCCCTGCTTTTAGTCTGTAGCTGGTTTAAGGATTGCTGCACTCCCCTCTGGTACTGCTCATCCCAGAGAGAGTATCAGGAAACCCCAGCCTTCATTTTAGCTCCTTTCCCAAACAGATACAGCTTGATCTTGAGCTGATCAGCCCCATAAACAAGGAGACAACATTCATACTGCACTTGCTGTAACTGGTCAGATAGAGTGGTATTGTTACCTAGAAAGAAATGCTTTAGCCCCTTTAGACGTTACAGGGAGGGGTAAAAGAAAACAAAAGGCAAGACGTATTCTTCTGAAATGATTTTGCAACACTACACCCACCACCACAGTGAAAAGCACAAGGATTGAGAGCTACAGCGACTACCACGTTGAGGTTGGGCCCTTCTCTGCACAGGCCCTACACAGCTTTGATCAGATCACACATACAGCCACACCCCAGTATCCACTGATTCTCTACCCCCTGCTCTGAAGTATCATCGCCAGGCACGCAACATCCTGCTCCGCCAACCGCTGTTGGGTTAACAGCTGAGTGAGCGGCTCAGCAGGTAGCAAAGCAGCTGCCTCCAGAAGAATGAGTCTAATAAAGAAGGGAATATGTGGAGGAATTGAGAAAGAAACACAATTTAAACACAAAGGGACGGGATATATAGCATGAAAGAAGGAACAGAATCTTCCACTAGAGATGCTGACATGTTGGAATTGATCTCCAGCCTGAAGGACCTGGGCTGCGCTCAGCTGTGACAGAGCAGACAGCACCAATCTTTCTGTGCAGGTGTTCCTGCTGCCTCTTTCCCAACCATTACCTTTCCACTGTTACCAGCTTCCTCAGATGCATCACAACCAGTAAAGTCAAAGGTGGCAGACAAAAGAGAGTGTCACATCAAGTGTTCCATCTCATAAATGGAACCAGCTCAGAGCTATCAATACAATGCCTTTTCAGCGCAGGCCGCTGTCTCTGACGGGCGGCACAGTGCTGCTGCAGGTAACCATAAGCTTCTTACGATAAGAGCTATTTTAATTTGATGACCATAGCCAAACGATCCTACCTCAGTGCCTGCGGTGTATTAAAATTTGGCCGTGACTCTGTAACATTATCTTCATCTTCCGGGCCTTCATCTTCCATGTTCGAGAAACCCATCTCATCCTGAAACTGAGAGCAAGCGTCAGGAAAAACTGACGGCAACAGTCAAGAACAGGAAGCTCAAGCAGTACATTTACCACCACCTGTCTTTAGCTAACAAAGCACATGATGATTCTCTTCACGTAGACACTCATCTCTGCAGGGACTTGTGGAAGTTCCTGCACACGTTTCTTCCCAAGGCTAAAGGTACACTGCCAGGGCAGGGCCCTTTGCACAGAGTCAGCACTAAGCAGCTTACAGAGACCACTCCGTTACGGCTTTAGAGATTTCATGTCAGACCATGAGAAAGATCTGTCCTCTGGTGCTACAACCAATTTATCACTTACTGTCTCAAACAGCTCCTCCATCAGCTCATTCACTTCCTTTTCTGCAAGTAAAATTGAAAAAGGATGAAGATTACCTTCCTAGGAAACACTCAGCAATCCTGTCATCATATCAAATCATTTAAGGACTCTCTTGCAAAGGGAAACCCTCCTCTTGCAAAGAGAGGACCAAGAAGAAAAGGCCCCTGCTATTATATCCCTTTAAAAAGCTGGGCCTCTAGAAACTTCAGCCGAGGCTGTTCTGATTCAAAACTATCACATAAAGACTGATTTTCAGAAATGAATCTGAAGGTATGTTAACCTGCAATAACCCTTAAACCAAGGGTGTGTTACTGAGAAGATGAAAAGTGGTATGTTTATAAAACTAACTTGAAGATTGTAAAGACTAGGAGAAAACATAATTGCACTCAAGTCACAAGGCCAGGATTCAATTCTGACTTGGCTGATACTTGAGGAAAGACTGTACTATCACATAAGCATTATTCTTCAGTCTTTGCTACCGAGCTGTATCTGACAGGATCTAGCCAGAGCTACTCTGCTTTCGTGTGTTGGCAGGAAGCCAGCTTTGCATAGGAGAGCTGTTTCAAGTCAGTATGCAAACTTTTTAAAATTAGCCTACACCGCAAAATCTTTGCAACAAAACACTCACTTTTCAAAACTAATTACTAATGCTAACAAGAAAGGAGGTGGGATTCCCAAAGGACTTACTGGTAATTCTCACAGCACGATCATTTCTGAAATCTTCTGTATCTGGTTCATCCAGATCTTCCAGGAAGTTGTACTCAGGGTCATCATCATCATCTGCTTCGTCTAATAAGAAGCACGTTTAGAAGCATCGTTACTCTGCCCCAGGACCAACCAGCAGCCAGGAGCAGAGGCAGTTCGGTTAGTGCCTGGCCTGGCACAGAGAGGGCTAGGATTACTGCCTCAGATTAACCGTATGTTCCTTTCCATGGATGCAGCATCAAGCCCATCCTCTTTTCAAACTGCACTAACTAGCATCCTTATCTGCAGCCACTCCCATTTGGAAAAGCTGCATTTATTCTCTGTGACCGGAGTTTCAGCTGAATTTAGAAGGAGTGGAAGAGTATTATTTCAATTTGTGGTTTATATTCAACCTGCACAACTGTAAGCAACCGGTAAATTCAGGCCAAAAGGAAGTCGAGCCCCAAAGCTTGTTTGTGTTTCTTCTCGAAGAATGAAGGAGTTGTTTCTACCAAACGGGTCACGTCCCTAACCAGAAGCGTGACACGCTCTGCTTCTGCTGTGTCGCTGCTGCCAGCTTCATGGCACAGCACGAGGGATTGAGGGCTGAAACACGTAACTTCTGCTGATGGCTGCCAGTTGCTGCCTGTGCTGGCTAGTGAATATTCACACACGAGACGCCTGAGGATTAAAAACCATCACAAATGCCCACGGAGCAGATGAGAAAAGCTGATGGTGTGCCAAACAGGCATATTACCAAACGAGATAATGGCTGCAGCCAAGAACCCTGTACAAATAGAAGGGAAAGGCTCCAGGCTTTCCCTGTAACCCCCAACTCCTGTGAACAACTAAACATCTCTCACATACCTTCGTTCTCCACATCGTCATTCATGAGTCCTCCAAGCCACCTTTTCCATTCTTCATCATCCGCGGTGTTGGGATCATACATGTCGGGTGTGATATCTGGGGCACGGAGTTCAGCCTCCAGCTGACCAAGAGGAACATCCTTCAGTGGTCTCTTCGACCGGGTTCGGAAGGCAATGAGGCTGTCTTCCAGAGACTGAGGGGTGAAGGAAAAGCACAATGGAATTACATAATGTCTCTGCTTTCCTCGGTTTCTCCAGCAGTGGGATTCTCAGCCAAGCCAAAAAAGTCTAGTACCAGAAATAACAGATTCCTACCACAAAGAATCATTTACTTCGGTCGTCTGAGAGAGCCAAACTTTCACTACCCTCACTACTGCGCTGTCACTGTCTATAAACACATTATTGTCCAGTGACTCACGTTAAACTCCACTGCTACTGAGGAAGCAGTATCCAGTTCTTTCCTTTACCTTTTACTCTGTTTGACCTCTTCACTACCTGAAATGAAGCCTGAGCAGCGGCACAGGACTGTTCCTTCGTGATTCCTCACCCTTACCCAGTAACACGGATACTTTTCTCACTACTAATATGAAACAGTGGTTCTCTTTACAACCCAGCTTCCTCAGGTGTTAACAGTATACTGGCCCCAACACAACTAAGCTGACAGTACAGCTTTCAAAAGTAAAGCTGATTTCATTAATTACGTACATGTCACAGAATTACATTTAAGTCAAAACAGTGGCAGTAAGAGACTTAGGAGCATACTCAGAAAGTGTAGTTACAAAAAACTAAGAGTATAGGCCACCAACACTCCTTCACTAACAGCTACCCCTGTTCTCTTGCAGAGCTAGCGTCCTACACACTACAGAGATTCAACTTATTATTTACAGTTATAAAAGGAGAGCAGAATGCAGTAAAAATAGTAGCAGAGAACACCAGAAAACTACCTGCTTTCTACCAGATTTTAATCAAACTGAAACCACATGATTATCGTAGAATCACAGAGTGGTTTGGGTTGGAAGGGAACTTAAACCCCCCCCAGCCCCACCCCCTGCCATGGGTAGGGACCCCTTCCATAGCCCAGGGTGCTCCAAGCCTCATCCAGCCTGGCCTTGGACACTCCCAGGGATGGGGCACCCACAGCTTCTCTGGGCAACCTGTCCCAGTGCTCCCACCCTCTGCGGGAAGAATTCCTTCCTCATGTCCATTCACAACCGCCCCACTTTCAACTGAAACCCGTTAGCCCTTGCAGCACCCCCAAACACGGTACCTGGTAAGAATCCATGCATACTGGGCTCGAAGCCAACTCCTCATCCACCGCATGCAGCTTCTCCATGAACGTGCTGTCTTTGTTTTGCTTTGGTTTAGGAGGTGGTGGAGGTCCCATGGGAACTACTTCAGCACTAATATGTCTAACAACAGGCGGAGTAACCTTCTCCATCTAATTAAAAAGGCCTCTGTGTTAAAAGGTTGTGTTTAGAACATACATTTCCGAGGACAGGCTAAGTCCTGTTTTCTGTCTGAACACAGCCTAGCACAACAGAAACGAGAGAAACGCTTCACAGAAGGGAATGGTTTCTTCATATTACACTCACTCTGATTTTCTGAAAGCGCAAGTAAGATTACAGTTCAAGAGGCTTGCAGGAAAGGAGACATTTGGAAGACGTGAAGATCAGTCTCAACATGACTAGAGCTGATACACCTCAACACTAGTGACTGGGGCACACTCCCAACCCTCCTAAAACCAAATCCAGGGTGCGCAGAACGTGGAAATATCAACACAATATTGCTCTTTAAAAAGTGTCAGTGCTCAGTTCTCACAGCCGTTTTCTCATTCCTGTCTGCTGATAACTCAGCTCTTATCACACATACTCCTACCGGTGTGGCAGTGCACAGTCACCACAAACACCCTTATGCTTTTATCGAAATCACTTTCTCCTCCTAAGCCCAGCACGAAAAGCGGTCCTCCTGCCCTCCTCCCAAAACCCAAAAAGATAATCACTGTCTGAAGAAGCAACAATTGCCTCACTGTCAGTACTTAAAAGTACTCATGTCCATTTTAGCCCAAGCTCCTTCTGCAAGGGCTGCACTTCACTGCTCACGCAGGAACCACTGTGGGGGATGCCAAATCCTCACAGCACCCGTAACCTCACCACAACATTAAACACTAATATGTATTCTCACTTTTGCACTAATAATTTAGGAGCAAGGACTGCAAGTTGTTTCTAAAGACAGCAAAAACTCTCTTGCCAGTTTACCTCACAGAGCGTCCCTCCCTCTTCATCAGATGACCGCCGTGTCCTGGATCGTTTTGCTCCCCGAGGAGAAGAAGCAGTGCTCTCCACATCACTTTCCAGTAAGCTCTGTAGTGCAAAAGATGCAGAAAGCAGTCAATCACGCCACAATCAAACACTGCTTCGACTAGTATTCCAAAGACATTTCTTAGCCAAATACAGCATTGAAGAAAGATTACTACAAGGTACGGGGCAACTTACAAGTTTTCATGTGTTAAAATAAAGAGCGAATTTTACTGCCTCAAACACGCAGACAACTCCATGCTGAACAGATCTTTGCCCAAGCAGTACAAAGTTACCTCTTCTGCAGTCTCATCCTCATCCTCATCATCAGGCTGGTATTCTTCATCAGATGAATCGTCTTCCTCAAGAGGAATGTCCACAAACTGAGGAGGCTGCAACACAACAGAGGAAAGGTGACAACTTTTCACAGGCAAGGTAAGTGCAGCCTAATGGTGCAATATCAGATCGAAGATCTATAGCCAAGGAAATACCCTGAAGCTCAGAAAGGAAGCAGACTACTGAAAAAGGCTGTGAAGAACTCGAGGAAACTACTAAAGTAGGATGGGTAAAGCAAAGTAAGTGGTTGAAAAGGTGCAAGAACAGCCACAAATGACTTAGCAGGTACATGATGGAAACACTGCATGAGCAGACACCGTCTCAAAGACATTTCTAGTACTTGAATGGCCATTCACTCCTGCTATACTGCTGAATCCTGCCCACACCAACAACACAAATCCTTTGGTGAAGGCAGAGCTCAGGAAAAAACTGAGATCCCGGCCATATTTTCAGGTGGTCCTAAAAGGTATAAACCAGCCCCAGGGAGGAGCACCTCACAGCACGAGGCCTGGACAGTGACATTTACTATCAGGAGTTTCATCCAGGAAGAGGCTGCTGCAGAATCAACACGGAAAGCTGGATCACACAGAAGAAAAGACCCGTCCTATGGCATGGCAACACTGTGTTCTGTCTTCCCCTGCAGGCAGCTCTTCCAGGCACTCTCTGCACCTGCTGCTATGCCACTGCCTTGTCCTGCCTTGCATGCCCTGTTGGCAATGCTGCTGGTCAGCAGTACTCCCAACATGCTAGACACGACTCTGCTCCACCCCCCCCAAGGATTCCTTGCTCAGCAGGGTGCCTACAGTACGGGCTCCCACTTCCCAGCAGCAGTTCGCTTACCTTCACCTCGTTTGCCTTCTTAATTGGAGAAATATTCCATGTTGGAATCACCTAAAGAGAGCAAAACCACATGAACCGTCTCTGGAAAGCATGATGCCGCACAGCTTAGACGATCGACTCAATCGAATGAGTGCTTGGGCTTGCGGCCTTGTTCTCCCAAGCAGCCACGTAACCACAACCGCTGTCTGAGCTGCCCATGCGATCCCACAGCAACAGCTTCAGATAACGGATACTCTCAAGGCACCGCATCTCCTAACTCTGACCTGAGTCCATTCTGCTCATCTAAAATGAATTCTTTTTTACATCGTTTTAATTTTTTTTTTCATTTTAAGAATAAATCACATAAAAGCATACTTTACACTTCTTTTAGAAGACAACAATCACAACCATTCCGGTATAGGTAGGGTGCAACAGTCAAAGCAGATGATGTACTTACCACTCCTTTCTCCACAACTTCCTTCAGTTTGGAGCGAGTCATTTTGGGCTCCTGAGAATTTAAACAAGAAAACAGCAACCAATTCAACTACTTTTCATAGAATCACAGAA